CCCTCTCTCCCTCTCTCTCTCCCTCTCTCTCTCCCTCTCCCTCTCTCCCTCTCCCTCTCTCCCTTTCTCTCTCCCTCTCTCTCTCCCTCCCTCTCTCTTTCTCTCCCTCTCTCCCTCTCTCTCTCTTCCACCACCAAGTTGTTCCCCAGGAATGGCTCATGGAGAACAACGCTCGGCTCCTCCTCCTCAGTGGGAACAACATCTGCTTCACCTTCATGGCCAGCAAGGCTGTGAATGGCAGGGCTGTGGAGCTGGCCAGGCTCATGGTCTTCATGGCTTTGGTGAGTACAGCTGAGCAGAGTCTCTCTACCCCCCAAATTTGCTGTCTCAGACTTTCCTCCTCTGCTCCCAGACACCAGGAGCAAGCCCAGCAAAAATCTGGGTGCTCTTCCACCTTCTGATCCTTGTCCAGCACATCCCTGGAAGCTGGTAAGCCTGTCCTTGAGGGGAAATACCACCAGCAAAAGGCTGAGGGGTCCCTTCATGCCCACAAGAACAACCTCTGTGCCCTCCTGACACCCCCCTAATTTTCCAGGCCGCGGCACAACCGCTGCAGAATCAACATTTAACGCTAAGATTTGACCTTGCCTCAGGCTCGTGGTGCATTTCTGACCTTTCCTGTGTCCCTCAGGTGTGTGAGAAGGACCTTTACTGCATGGACTGGGTGGTGAAAATGATGCAGAAGGTCAGCAGGGTTTTCAGCACTCCCTGGGAGAGAAACAACTTCCTGCAGTGCCTGGAGAACACCTTTGCCCACATGCTCATGGACATGCTGCAGGCAGTGCTGGCTGGTAAGACTCACCCTCTGGGCCTGGAGCAGCTCCTGGATCAGGAGCTGGGGCTGACCATGGCATGGAGGAACACTCTGCCCTTCCCTCCCTCACCAGGCAGAGCAATCCTGGAGGGCCTGAAGGGTTTTGGTGACATAAAACCACAGAACCATTGAATCCCTGACTGGTTTGGGTTGGAAGGGCCTTAAAGCCCACCCAGTCCCACCCCCTGCCATGGGAAGGGACACCTTCCACTAGCCCAGGTTGTTCCAAGCTGGCCTGGAACACTTCCAGGGCTGGGGCAGCCACAGGTTCTCTGGGCAGCACAAATAATCAATCAAGTGCCATAATTGGGCAGAAACCTTGATTTGAACAGGTTTCTCCTGCTGAGGGATTCCTGGTGCCAGGGATGGTGCCACCAACACTGTTCTAAACCCCACCCCAGCAGAGCCCTGGGCCCGAGGTCCCTTTGGGCTGTGCCCAAACCTCCTGCTCAGCCCTGACAGGTTTTTGTCCCAACACACAGTTGTTCTTGTTGCCTTTGGGCAGGCTGGGGAAGGAATTTTGGAGAGAGTCCCCTGTGCCCCTTCCCAGCTGTCCTGGCATCAGGATCACGAATCACAGCACAGAGCTGAGGTGAAGCTCTGCTGAGGGCACTGAGGGACACCCACCCCGAGGGATTAACTGACTGATCTGGTTCCACTGACCATGTCCCATGGTTTCCTTTGCCCTGCCAGGGGGGCACGACGAGGAGGACAACACCTTCCTGAATTTATTCCACCTGGTGAACGCACAGGCAAACTTCCACAAGGAAATCCTGTTCCTGGCCATGAGGAGCAGCCCCAGCACCACCTGAGCTCTGCAGACTCCTGCTCCAGGGTTTGGTTTTGAACATTTGCAAAGAAGTGTCCAGTTATTTCTTCCCATTCCAGCTGGAGTGGCAGAAGTTGGGACCATCCATGTCAGTCCAGCTGAAGGAGCTCCAGGAGCTTTTGGGGACTCCATCGTGGGGTTCCTTGAGTTCTGCTTCTCCAGGGAAGCAGCCTGAGGCCTCTCCCTTGGGAACACAAACTGCATTCTTTTCCCACTGTGCATGTTTGCACACACAGTAAAAATGACATGGTTTCCATACTCAGACACCAACTGAGGAATGTTATCTTAGTTCAGACCCCAAAACATTTTGATCTTTAAAATGTGTTTTCTCTCGGGAATCCGAGGAGAAAGAGATGGATGGGATCAGAGGAGCACAGCTACATTTCTCCAGCTTGCCAGGGCCTCTCTCACTGACTCAGAGCTTCTGTGGCAGAAACATTCCTGACTTTGGATGCTCAGCCACAGCCAGAGATGATTCCTGAAAGCAGTTCAAGTGCTTTGACCAAGCAAGGCATTTTTTTCCCCCCTCAACCTCCAGGTTTTCATAAAGCAGAAGGAACTCCCAAATCCCTCCCCCTTGCCCCAGGTAACAACTGTTGAAGCGTTTTGGCCTCCACAGGACTTTGCAAAGTTGAAGACACCCGTTAAATGCACATTAAATTAAGTCACTGGTTCATTAAATGTATAAATGTTTCCTGCTTTAGAAAGGGGTTGGATTTTCTGCTCTGTTGCCTTCAAAACAAAAGCACGTGACGGGAATAAAAAGCACTTACTGTCCGGGGGCTGTTTCCAGCGGGGCTGTTTCCTTCAGGTCATTAAAGAGCCGCTTTCTCCGCCCCAGGAATCCCTTCCCGAAGGTTTCCGTCTTCCTTCGGGACCGGGGTTTGGCTGGAAGGGGAGCCACGCTCAGCTCTGGAAGCGTCAGAACAGCTGAAGTGGGAGCGATTTATCTCAGCTGCCCCCAGCTGATTCCACCAGGAACGAGCCGGAATGATTCGCTTGGAAGTTTCTTAGGAATTCCTCCGCGTTTGTTGAGTGCACAATTCCAGGCAGGATCCTCGCAGGTGCCGGCAGGTGGCAGAGGTGAAACCTTCCCTGCCGGAAAACCCTGGGAACGCCCCTTTTCCCTCGCTCTTCGAAGGTGATTTTTTTTGGGAACGCGCTGATTTCCGAGGGAAGAGAAACTCCGGCCTCTCGTTTCTGCTCAGAGGAACCGAACGTGTCCGGACTGATCCCCACGAGGAGAAAACAGACCCGGAGTGAGAACAGCGACGGGAAAACGCAGCCAAGAAGCCGCCGGGGCTCAATTCTGCGGGTCCTTGGCTCTGCCTCCCCATAAATAATCCCGGCGGATGGAAGGCAGCGGGATGGAGCAGAGCCCGGGCCCGTCGGGAGCCGCGTCCCCCCGCCAGCCCCTGGGTCGTCTCCCGGGCCGGGGACAGAGGGGCCGCGAATTCCAGCCCGGCACAAGGGCCGGCTTTGTGCGAGTGCAGCCACACGGGAAAAGGGAGCTCTTTGATTCCCTGGCAGCCGGAGGGATCAGCGGAGGGATGAAATGCCGGCGCTGCCGGCACGAGCAGCGGATCCTCCGGCCGTGCCAGCTGGATGTGGCTGCCCGCCGGGAATTATTGATGGCGTTATTAATTGGTAGGGGCTGCACAAGAGCCCAGGGAGTGTCTGGCGTTGGTTTTTGCAACATTCCCGTCAAACAACGGCTCTGCCTCCCAAAGGCACCATCCAGGCAGGGAAGAGCCTGGTTGGGACCCCCCAACCTGGATCAGGGACCCCTCCCCAGGGGCTGCCCCTCGTGCTGGGGGACACGGGGGTGTCTCATCCCGGTTTTCCAATCTCTCACCATTCCCAGGGCTCGTGGATCTCTCCACAGATGTTGGATTTGCCCCAGGGAGCCACGTGCCCCATCCATCCCCGTGGATGCAGGGGGTGCATTCCAGCATTCAACACCAGCAGCCACAGTCCCCTCTCCCTCCCGAAGGATCGAAGCTCAAACCCCTCCCACTGATATTTGGGACCTGCAGGGTCGAGAGCAGGACTTGGATGATCCTGGTGGGTCCCTTCCCACTCAGCCTGTCCTGGGGTTCTGTTTTACTTCCCCAAGTTTCCCAGCTTGGAATAGGACACCCCCCCCCCACAGCCTCCTTTTCCAGCGTCCCCCTGGATCAGCTCTCCCAGTTAAACACCGAGTGGGGCCCGGGGGGGAACCTCGGCAGCACCAGAGGGGCTGGGACAGGGATCCCTGAGAGAACTGAGAGAACACTGCTTTTCCTTCTGCTGCCAAATTTTACCCGCTGCTGGGGGGGGGGTGAATAAAAGCCGGACCTCGCTGCATCCCGAGCCCCGGAGCAGCAGCTCCCTCTGCCCCAGAGCTGGGGCCGTTTGTCCCTCTGCAAACCCGGCTCCTGCCTCGGCCCCGGCCCCTTTCCCAACCCCGCAGCTGCTGGGCCGGGTCCCTGCACCTTCCAGCCGGGAGCCGGCGGGTGTGGGGCGGGAGAAGGGCCCGTTCCGCGTTGCTGGAGGGTTTGGAAGGGGAGAGGAGCCCTCGGAGTCAGAGCCCAGGATTGTTCCTGCCTTCACACTCAGCTGAGCTCCCATTCCACGCATTCCTCCTCTGCTCGCTGCAGATGTTGGCAGCAGGCACAGCCCCGGGAGGGGGGAGGTTATTGAGAACATCACTTAATGCCTGAAGAGATTCCTCCCGGAATATTCCAGGCTCCCGATTTCCGGCTGTATTTGGGGCTGAGGGGGAGGGAGCGCCCCGGGCGGCCCCCGCGATACAACGGGGGGGATTTTCGGGAGCAAAACCACCCGGCTTTGGGTTCCTCTCTCCGGAGTTTTACTGACAGGAAATTGCAGTGTCAAGTACTCATCCAGCATTCCCAGGCTCTGAAATCCCTCTTTTTTTTTTTTTTCTGGGAACACCGTCTCCTGAAAGTCACACCAGATTCCAGCCCCCTGCTCTCCCTGGGTCCTGTTCTCTCCCACCCACTTGTGTGTGGGGGTTCCATGGTCGACTGAAGGGACACGAGTAGCTTTTCCCATTGTGGATATTTCAGGTGTTTGTGACTTACAAAAAAAATATATATATATATACCTGGGAGACAGCAGGCATAAGAAAACTTTGCTTTCTGGGAGGGTGAAACTTTGATTCATTGCACGTGTGTGGCTGTGTGAGGGCAGGGATTGAGGCAGAGTTTCATCAAAGGACAGGAAAAATCCCCCAAATACCTCCCCAGGCCTCTCAAAAAAAAAAAAGGGGGAAATGGGGCCCTGAAATGTTCTTTCCATCCCACAGAAATTTCCATCGTGTTAAAAATGTTCCTTTTTCTACGCTGAGATTAATCAAGACCTCCAGGATCTCCCCCAAAACCACAGAGGGACCCGGGGGAGGGTGGGCACAGACACCTGGGCACCATCCAGGCAGGGAAGAGCCTGGTTGGGACCCCCCCCCAACCTGGATCAGGGACCCCTCCCCAGGGGCTGCCGCTCGTGCTGGGGGACACGGGGGTGTCTCATCCCGGTTTTCCAACCTCTCACCATTCCCAGGGCTCGTGGATCTCTCCACAGATGTTGGATTTGCCCCAGGGAGCCACGTGCCCCATCCATCCCCGTGGATGCAGGGGGTGCCTTCCAGCATTCAACACCAGCAGCCACAGTCCCCTCTCCTGTGTCATTCCTCTTTATTCCGTTTCATCCCACTTTTTTTTTTTCATTAAAAATAGAAGTGCTCTCCTAAAATGAAGCCCAGATGACTGACCTCGGATGGGCTCATCCCAAGGGGGGGGCAGGACCCTTCCCATCCCCCTGGGACACCCCAGGTCCGAGCAGGGGGGTGTCCCCTCGCAGCCCC